CTTAAAACTTGCTTAGCTTATGTATAGATTACTGACCATCAGATTTACAGTGCTATATTTTTTTTACATAACTCAGACAAACCCTTTAAGGTTTTTTTTTTTTTTGGCATTTTTTATCTTAAATGCACTTATGTGAATTAATAGTAATTTGGACTTTAAATTTGGTTAAAACCCCATAATATAAAAAAATACCATTTAAATTTTTTTTTGATGAATTTGAAGACAATTTTGCATGTTGTGGCAAATCATGATGTCTAGGAGCTTTTTCAATATTTTATTTGTTTTCAGCACACCAAAATACATGGAAATTAGATGAAAATAATCAAACAGCTTTTTAGTCACAGACCTGTGATAATGTATTGGGTTCTCACTTCCCATTTGGATCTGACCAACATCAAATTGCTCCATAAATACATGTTTCACTGACAAAAAAGTATATCCAGAGCTTTGCCACTTTCAATCTTCTCAGTAGGGCTGCTGCACATTGCAGTTGATCAAGAAAAATGCAATTATTCTTTTATAAAGCCAGGCTGAAGGGACAAACAAGATACCTATTATTCTATGGTTTTTTGTAGTACTGTGCAAAGATAGCTTTCCCAGTTTGGGTGGTTTAAATCAAAGCATAATTAGTGGCCTGATTTTCAGCTCAAGCCTCCTACTGCTTCTACTCAGCAGTAGGAAAAATATGAAAACTTGGCCAATAGTGTATGGCTCTACTTGACCTGCAAAGCTTGCATTCTGACATTTTCACCAGGAAGCTATTTTCTATTATTTAAGGTCTCATCCAGATGAAATAACATAGATGGATATACTGTAAATGTTTTACATGAAATGACCAGTCTGATGCCATATGAAATGAAGGAAAAGCTACAGCTAGATTCATAGCCTTTAGCAATGGTTAGGTATCCTTGTTCATCAGTCTCATATCCTTCCCTAGAACATCTCAGGCAATGCACCAGTGCTCTGGCTGAGCCACCCCCCCTCCCTCAGACACACACACACACACATACACACACACACACGTGCAGAAGGAGGGAGAACATCAAGAAGCAATTGGAACCATCCCCTACATTTCAAAATAAACTGTAAAGGACATATGTAGTAACTGGAAAGACAGACTGGCCCCTAAAGGTTGTCACATAACTGAAAAGATGACATTAGGAAAGTTGATCCAATGTCAATGTACATATGTCTGTACTTCTTGCCTGAGACTAATCAGGAAATGTTTGTGAGAATCTGATCAGGCATAGTGCACACATGTTGCTTCTCTCTGTGTGTATGTTTATATGTGAATACTGGAAAGCATAGGGTGGCTACATGGATATGTCAAGAGCAAGTCTTGCCAGTCTAACATCATCTCCTTTTTTTTAATTGGAGAGCTTCCTCAGTAAAATGTGGAATGTGACAGATGCAGTATATCTTGGTTTTTGAAGAAGTTCCCTGTGACATTTTGATTAGCAGGGGAATCAAGTATGGGCTAGATGGCATAAGAATCAAATGGATACATAGCTGATTTGAAACTCATATCCAGACTGTTCATCCTTATAAAACTGAAACAAGGTATTGAATGGGATACAATCCTAAGCTTTGCATGTGTCAAAATACATGAATGAAAATAATAGAATGAAATTTAACAAAAGGAAATGTAATGCTTTTC